TCACATGCATGCATAATATCAAATTACCACACATGTGCACATAATTCATGCATTTATCTTTAAGACAACATGCATGCTATCACATAATTCACATAGTGAACACATAAATTTACCTCAACCCAGGTTTGTAGGAAACCTGGTTATAACAGTGTTACACATAGATGACTTGGTTCCATTGCAAACAAGTATTGTTCAAACAATTTGAAAGTTAAAAAAGGTCTTTCCACCCGGATACTTTGATTCAAGGAATACTTCGTGATACATTTGACCAGTAAAACTATAAACGGTGGTCCGGTCCAATATAGGTGGATGTATCTCTACGCGAGATAAGTCCCTAATTTTATTAAAATCTAGTAAAATATATTCATATAAAACACTCTTTCTGCCCCTAATACGTATTTCATCGTTTATTTAGGAAGCTTGGATGGTTGAAGAGAACGGTTCAAAATAAAGCAAGGGTTGAGGGCTCTATCATTGAGTCGTACCTTATAAATGAACTTTCTACCTATTGCTCCCTCTATTTTGATCCAACAACAATAGTAACAAGAAATAATCATAAGTCAAGGAACTTTGCCCTGGATATCCCTAGTTGTTTGGAGAACAACGATCGATTAAGGATATTCAAGGTTCCATTTCGTCCACTATTCGTGAAGGGTGGGAAACAGATAATCTTGAATGAACGTGACCTGGAGACTATCCATAGATATGTCTTGTTCAACAATATAGACGCTCACCTTTCCACTCGATAGATGATGAAAGAGATTCAACAAACAGAACCAAATATTGATGATGTTGAACTTGATAAATCCGGGACGAAAGGTTTGCTTAGCGGTTTTTTCACCACATGAGTATATATATATAATGGCCACTAGTATTATATACAGAATGCAATATCGTACGTTATGTGTTTGTCACGTATGGCCTTCTTTTATATGTGATATTCGAGTTAAACGACTTAAGTGAACAATTGAAATCCCAAGCATGCAGACCATACCATTATGCCACCACGTATAACAGATACTTTATGAATGGTTATAAGTTCCATAAATTAACCCATGGACCTGGTCGAGTTACCCATAATAGTGGTATTTGTGTTGGGGGGCCTACTATGACGAGTGTGAGTCTGACTTCTATGTAATGTTGGATGATGTTATAAAGGTGGACTATTATGGCCCCAACTTCAACTGGTTCGGGGTCAAAAAGAGGTCCTATCCATCAGATGCTGACACCCAATCATCCGAGCTAACGACCATGTCTTTCTTTGATAGGCAACGGGTAAGTAGATGTTATATAAGACGTTGTATTACATAATGAAATGATATGAATGTCTTTGTGCTTATATATTTTTTTTAATTGTGTAGGTTTAAGATGCCCATGTAAGTCGGGAGATGACAACTATATTTAGGTCTTCCTTTGCTGGTCTGTGGCATAGATCTAAGGGAGTCCCCCCTAAAGCCTGTGACTTGATGTTCAAGCGCTTTTAGGTTGGTGTATCATTGTAATGTATTATACATATAAGGTTATTGTTTTTACATTGATAAAAATCTTGTATATGTAGGCTAAGTTCCAATAGGAACTAGAGCTGGATGACATTGTTCGTGATTTATAGACCAAAGCATGCATAATATGCACTCAGATTGGATAAGTGATGCACATGACTGGGCCACGACACAAGCCTATCCCGGTGCCCAAAAGTGGGATGATGAGGACTTCTCATGGATTAGATTACACCGCCGTATATGGATCCTAGAGAGATTTTGGTTCAAATGATTGACCAGATATGTATCTTTATTGTGAGCTTTGTGAATTGTCATGTGTTTTGTACCGACTTACATATGTGTTATGTTTTTAACAGATTTGGGATACCGAGCCTTGGAAAAGGAAATCCATGATCAATAAGGCCAATCGGAACACACAGTTTGAGGGTTTGTCGTCATGACACACCGAGGATTGATTAGTACTGGACAACATCAAGGCCGAACGAAAGAGTAGGGTAGACTTGGAGGCCAAATATGCCAGACACGCTGCCTAGCTAGCCGAACAGATCGCATTATTGGGGCATTTTGCTGCATTTATGCGAAAGTCATGATCCGTTTCCCCCCCTCCCCTACCTCCACTACCTTCCGGTAGTTAGATTGTTACTTAAACTGTATGAATTTGATCATTAGATTGTATGAGTTTGATAATTTAAATCGTATGAATTCGTTTGTTTTAATTTGTTGGGAAATTTTGGTTTGTTATTTTATGAGGTTTTGTATAAATAAATATATGGATTATGTATTTTTAAATTATTAGAAACTAGCGACTAATTAGCAACGAAAAACCCGTCGCTAAAGTTCGTGGTCCCTCGCTAACCGTCGCTAAAAGTCCCTCGCTAATCCGTCACTAAAATCTTCTGTTGCTAATCCGTGCTAAATATATCCCTCACTACACTGACATATTTCCATCACTAATCTGTCGATGAAAGTATTTTGTCGCTAATCCGTTGTTGAAAGTGTTCTGTCGATAATCCGTCACTGAAACTATTCTGTTGCAAATCCTTCGTCTAAGTTTTTCGTTGCTAATCTGTCGCAAAAGACACCCATTGCTGATCCATCTCTAAGAGCCGTCGCTGATAGCTTTACCTACAAGCTTTTGACTGACGAACTATCAACGATGTGTCAGCAAAGGAATAGGCCTTTAGCGACAGATTTGCGATGGATTTTTCCGTCGCTAATACTCCTCATTTTTTTAATGAATCTCATGTTCGTTTTGAATGATTGTTTTGATTTGAGATCCTGTGATTTCATTGAAATCCGACAAACATGATTAGAAATTCCGTGAGGATTGTTGGAATATAGGTGAAATTTGTGTGTAATAATGTTTTAAATTAGTTGAAAATATTTGTTTTATAATAATCAATTATCACTAGATAAATTAATTATTTTTTTGATTACTAATAATTTGTTTTTACCAATTATCTATAAAAAATGGAACTCGATTACATTTCAAATCCTACAAATCAAACACACAAAATATAATAACTCATTCCAAACCCAAATCCCAACAATTCCGAATCCTTCCACGAAAGAATCATAACAAAACGAGTTGAAAGAAGCCCTAGATAAATAAAAAAATTATATCAACAAATACAAAATACACATTTATCAAATACCTAAATCGAATCAATGAACCAAATAATTGAAATTGTTGCTTCGTACCTGAAATTGCAAGTGCAACAACGAAAGATGATGAAAATCGTTTGGGTGGAAGGCGAGAACTATAGAGATGAGGTTGATTATTGTAGACAGAGAACGATGTTTGGGTTCTCGAATGGATGAGTTGATGTTGTGGAGAAGACAATAGATATAAGGAAGAAGGGGATAAAATCGAAAAAAATCAAGAATGTGATACTCTAACTGCGATAAGCATGATATTGTTACTGATTATGAACGGACCGATAAGTGGAACAGTGAGAGATGCTTATTAACTAAGTGGATAAGAAAACAAATTTAAGGTTTTTTTGAGTCATTGATAATAAGTGACAAGTAAACAGCCCCTCAGTTAATTTATCATCTTAGTTGATAATTTTGAGTAACCATCATATATAACATAAAACAGAATAAACATAGTTTTTTATATGGTAAAAAAATTAATTTTTTATTAAAACAATTATCAAACTTTTATTTTAATATAAAACAGAATAAACATAATTTTTTTATATTACAAAAGACTTCAAAGTTATTTTATTTGAATTTTGACCGATCAAATCTTTGCAATAATAAAAATAATGATGAAAAGAAAAACAATATAAAAGTAGTTAATAGTCACTAATACGACCATTTCAAAAAACATTAATATAACTAGTAACGATTTAAAATAATTTATAACTAAAATTAATTATTTCGATTGATGATTAAAATATGAGGATTCCTTAAGTAAAAATCAGAAAAAAGGTAGAATAACTCTTAATTGAAACAATATCAGATTGTATTTTTCAAAAAGCTAATTAATGGCTAACCAAATAAAAAACTTCAATAAACTATTAGTTTATCATTGTGGAACATGATTTTAATTAATGGTATTTTTTGTAATTTAAAGGATGATTAACTAAATAAACTTATAATTAGGACATTTATAATTTTTGTAATTTTGAATTAAAATTTTAATGCAAGGATATTTTAGATATTTTAAAACTCTCCTCTCTCATATTTTCTCTCTCCGTCCTCTGGCCTTCACCATCCTCCGGTGATACTACAGTAGTATCACAATGCATCTTATATGTCATTGAGTATTACACTGAGGTCGTTTGTGTGGTCGATTGGAGATGTAACACAGTGGTATCATGTACTTGGATATCACACTGTGTCTTTTGTTTAACAGAGTCAATATTTTTAGGTATTACAGTGGTATCATTGGAGGGTGGTAGCCGGAGGACGGTGGCCGGAGAGAGAAGAGAGGAGAGAAAATACCTGAAAGATCCTTGCATTAAAATTACCAAAATTATGAATTTCCTAATTTATCTATTGATTTGTGGTTGAGATTGGATCTCACGGTTATGCAACCCTTTACATTTGTACAACCAATACAACTCAATTCTCAACCGACCATTTAATTTGATGAATATGTGATTTTATAAAAGTTTTGATTGTTTCCTAATATAAAATATTGATCATAATTAATGAACTCTAGTCATCTTCCATAAATATTCAAATTATAATAAATGAACTCTTATCATTTCAATAAATATCTCAATTAATTGAGTTGCATTGGTTGTACAAATGAATATGGTTGCATTTCAAATATACCCTCTATCAGAATAGTCTAGGATGAATTCCATAATTGAATAGTGACAAGAAGTCAGGAATTTGCTAGGAAATATCTGGGTATTAAGGCTTGCAAGAAAAGGTCTTTGCGTGCTATTCCAAACTTCTTTTTCTCTTGTCAAGTATTGTTTTAGATTTGAGGAATGAGTCAACCAAATTCAGGCTATATATGCCACTCAGTACTCTTAATCGTATGAACCAGCATATTATGTATGATTAATTCTACTTGATACTACTTCTCAAAATGGAGCACCAAAACCGTATTTCGTTCTTCGTCACGCTGATTTGTGTTTATTTCCTGGTTGATTTTGTGAAAGCCTCTGAAGTTCACTCTAAAGCAGACATGATTAATGCGGCCATCCAAAATAGATCCATCCTGGACCAAGGTGGTATTGGACATGATGCATGTGCAGGTATGTTGTTATAGTTACCCTCTATACATATTGGGCATGCATGCAGCTTAATTTGTGATTAGCATTTGGCAGAAGTATTATATATCAATGATGAAAAAATTGAGATTGTGAGGATAGTTCTCAACTGTCATATTAGGGATTTAAGGGATGTGATAAATCACTCGAGGGGCGTTTACTAAATGCTTATCTAGTAAGTACTTATTATTGGGTAATTTTCCTCACCGGATGAACATGGCAAGACCGGATGAACATGGCAAGGGACAAGAATCTTATCCGGTAAGAGTGATGATAACGATGAAGAGTTTTACCCGGTAAATAAGAGTGATGACTCTTACCTGGGTAAGCGCTTACTAGGTAAATTGTTGCATAAGATACGTTTTAATGTACTACAATCTTATCCGATAAAATAAATTATAATGTTAACTCCTAATGGTAAGCGTTTACCGGTTAAGCATTTAGGTAAACGGCCCATGAATTCCATTTTTACCATGAAAAGCAAAATTGACTTTTGATTGTGACGCCCTATTGCATATTGTAAGCCCATCAGAATAAGATGTCTCGGTAGCTGTCACCATATTCCGTAGAAAATTAACATATGGAGTAGAGACCAAACTAAGAATTTCAACTCGTGACAGCATTAATTTGACTACAAGAAATATATATATATATATATATATATAGAGAGAGAGAGAGAAGAACGATCAAATGAAAACCAGTCTCATTTGTACAAACTGTACAAACCACCCTCATACGTCGATTACATTGTTTAATCTTATGAAATTTTTTCATGAAATTGTTTATCTTGTGAAATTGTTTCATATAATACTTTTTTTTTGATGAATTTGTTTCATATATAGTTATGAAATTGTTTCATATAATATTTAATGAAATTTTAATGAAACTGTTTCATGTATTTCTCTAAAATTAAAATAATGAAGACGATAATATCCATGATTAACACCCTCCACAATAAAAATGGTTAATCAATCTCTCATAATTACAAAAAAAAATGAACAAAATGAAAAATTATGATTGGTTGAATGTGGTTTTCACGGTTTGTACAAATTGAGTGGTTTTTATTTGAACACTCCTATATATATATATATATATATATTATATGTGTATATATAGAGAGATGTAGGTTCATACGAGAATGATACATACTTTAAAAAAAAGAATGAACAAATTACGTATAAAATCGCATGTGATTTACATTAACAACCAAGAAAGTGTGCGGGCGACCCTATTGCCGCATGACAAGGTTGCGTTCCACATGTGATTTTGTATATGCTGTTAGTATAAAATCACATGTAATTCGGTCATTCTCTTATTTTCTTAAATAAGTACAATTCTCGTATGAACCCGACACTATATAGGGTTAAGTTCCAGTGAGAAGCGTAAGAAGAGATCTCCACCCTGGATGCACATTAGGATGAGATGCACCAGAACAATCCCCTTATCAAGCGCGAATCATGGGTGAATTTGAGATTAAAGGTGATTAATGGTCCAAATCATTACTGGTTTGTTGGCTGGTTTATTGCCTTGTTAATGTAATGTCTAGTGTTTGAGTCTTCTTATAGATTTTTATCCCAATCATTTTTTCCCAAAAACATAATAAACCCGAAATTAAAAGCTAAAAAAACTAGGAAAATTGGTAAACATTAACGGATTCGAACCCGCACCTGGAAGCGGAAAAATATTGCTACGCAAACCAACTTTGTCATAAGAAACTTGCATCGTTGTAGTTTCAAGAAATTTAAGGATACTGAAAGAAATGGTAGTCCTCTTTAGGACTGAGTCTTTTTCTCATTACAACAGAGCCATGAAGCAGCTGTAGTAGCATGTGTCATCGTATATATGCCTTTAAGTAGGTCCGACCCTATCGTGGAGCCATAACACTTGGATGTCAAAACCATTGTTTACTATAATGCTACTTAGTTCACCATGCTTTAGTTAGAAAAGCTACTACATGGAGATGTTATTTTACTCTTTCATAATCCATACTCATTTTGATGTGGTTTTGGTATGTAATTGCCTATAAAAGGCATTTTAGGGCCAAATTGGCAGAACGTGACCAAGCAAAGAAATAGTGTATGCCCAAAATTAATTGTGTGGGTGCCAAAGAAACCAGGCTTCCGTGAGTTTGTAAAAGTAAACGAAGAACTTAATGTTGAAGGGGGATTCTCCATAGCCATATTTTGTCATGCTTTGCAATTCTTGACTTTCAGCGTCGAGCCTATCTTCATTCCTTTCGTTAATGAAAAAGGGGAAACCAAGGGTACCTATGATGACCTTCTACTCAACATGAAAGACAAGGTACGTACTGTTTTTATATGTATTTATATATCAAATATACATATATATATATATATATATACTTGTAATCATGTGACACCAACCTGTTTTTGTGAAACCACACAGCATTTTGCTGTGAAGTTTCAAATGTAAAAAAATGGTCTCACGAAAACAGACTGGTCTTACGTGAACTCATCCCTCTCTCTCTCTCTCTATCTATATATATATATATATATATATATACACACACATATATATGGCTCAAATCCTATCTTATTGTCGTTAGTTTAACCATACATTATGACCACGTGAAAGATAATTAACGCCTATTTCCTTTGATGGACACTCACTTGGATAAAACATTAGAATTATGGGTTTGTGGACACTCACTTGGATAAAATCTTGGTTCGTTTATCGGAGAGCCTTTTCCAAATACAATATTTCCATCTTTCAAGCGTTGGGTTACATAAATTCGTATTGGGATAAAATCCAGAATCTCACTATCGTTCTAAGGCAAAAACTCGAGTATTCAGTAGTAAGATCGTTATGTTGTTTGTCTATAAAATGAAAAAGAAACTACCTTTTATAGATAGTTATTATCGTGATTAATATGGGGAGGCTAAGTAGTTATTAGAAGATAAGAACTAAGGATCCATGGCAAAAAAAAAATATGAAACCGACGGTGAAGCTGGAAACAGAAATATTCATGTCGGGTTCGAGAACTATTTTTTGGGGACGGTGCGGGGATTATGGATGAATTTGGGAGGCCCGACAATATATATATATATATATATATATATATATATGATGTATTAATATACGTACATACTGTAATTTTTTCCGAGTCATTTATGGTTTTGTGTTCAAGGATAATGAACGGTGAATGGGGAAACCAACGAGGACATGGAGTTTTATCCTTAACGGTTCCCCAACATGGATTGAGGAAAGGGTGAGGCCTTGAGGGGTTTCAGGACGGTTTTGGTTATTGGTTTTCGGGACAGGGATCCAATCACAACAGGCCTGTTGTCATGCTATTTCCTTTAAGTCAGATAGCTCAATTAAGCCAAAAGCCACAAGAGTGCAGGACATGCATAGAAGGCCATCTTTCTTATCCCTTTCAGACCTTTTAACCCATATGTGAAGTTACTCTACGAGTGATTTGGCATTATCCAAAAGAAGTGTAACCATCTTAAGATCTCCACTTGCAAATTCTATATACTTGGACCTGATGCAAGAAGATATGATCATCATATCTCCCCACTACTCCCGCTCACAAACACCAATTAAGCATATAACAACGTCACAACATGTTCCACTATCGATGTGATATCCACCAAAGAGAGAGAACAAGTATTATATCACCACGAAGGAGATTACAAGTGCTTGTACAATGATCGTTGGATCCAACATCAACCATTTATCTTCAAGTCGTCAAGAAACACTATGAACACCAAGAACACTCTCCCTAAATTACATATATTACAAAGAACTAGAAAGAGTTATTAGAGAGAGTAGAGGTGGTGTCTTGTGTTAGGAGCCAAGAAAGTGAAGTAGTGATAGATTGGGACAAACCTTTCTATAAATAATATATAGAAAGGACAAAGAAAAGTATGGCAAAAGGCTAAGGAATGGTGGGAAAAAGGCATGGGCTAGTCGCCCATGTGCAGCCGGCCAAGATTTGGTGCGAGCGGGTTTGGCGCGGCTAGGCCGCATAGAGGTCGTGCGGGTGTGAGAACTGATTCAAGCAAACAAAGGCAAATGCAGGTGTGAAGCGGGTATAGGCTCTTGAAACCCATATATCAGACCCGGGTTCATGGCTTTGAGGGTCGAGGGCAGCCTTGGCGCGCCCTAGGCTGCATGAAGAGTCACTTGGTTGTTTCTCCATCCGATCCTTGTGCAACATCAAATATGTAGTATAACCATATTACAACACATTTTTTTAAATTAACAAACTTCACTTCCCCTATTTTTTTAAATTGGAGCCAAACAAATAATACAAAAAAATGAGCATTTCATTCTCTTTAATTTGAAATCCATATTTGAACAAGAAATTGATTACCGACAACTATAACCAGCCCCACATGGAACCCCCTCCAAAGACACCAATGTAAGAGACATTTTTTTGGCTCACTCAATGGCTGAAGTTAGTGGGGAACTGGGATCGGACTAGTTTGGACAAAGCCACCGCACCTGTTTACCAACTGAGCTACACGCTAGCTTGAAATCCATATACTAATACTTTTCATGTTTCCACGTGTCCAAACATTTTATGGTTTGCATTTGAAGCCTCCCCTATTGGTAGTAGAAACGTGATATCTACTTTTTGGAGGTTAGATGGGCTTGATAGTGGTTAGAACTTCCCTTGGGACAACTTAGAGGTCGAAAATTTGAATTACAAGCTTGTGTATTTCCGGTAAATTACCAGGCCTCCATGCATTTGTGGATGGAAAAAGTTTCACCCATTCAGATGGTTTCTAAGGTATTCTATAAGACCCAATATATCTAAATTGGACATTTCTATCTAAATGGAACACGTTTACATAACCATCAACAAATTAACAATATAATGTATCAAAGGGCTATAAACTCAATTGATTCTTAATTGTCTATCTTGCAGACCTGCGAGGCTGTGGCAGGCGATGTTACTATACGTTTTAATCGAACCCAATACATTAATTTTACGATTCCCTATCTAAGCTCTGAAGTTTATATGCTTGTGCATGGTGCACATGAATGGAACCAAACCCTGTTGACTTTCTTGAAACCTTTTACCTGGAGATTATGGATCACAGTAATTGGTGCGTGTATCTTTATTGGAGTTGCAATTGCAATTTTGGAATACCGTGTTGGCAACCCCAAATTTGCAATCCCATTCTATCAGAAACTCGTAATGGTCATCTGGTTTCCTATATCGACATTCTACTTCCGTGAAGGTATTTATTTTAAAAGATATATATACACAAAGAGCACTTAATTTGACATCAATGTTTAAATGTGAATTTGTCTGGAAAAGAGCACTTTGACATCAATGTTCAAGAAACAAATTTAAGAAAACGAAATGCATCTAAGAACATTATTTGTTCATTTATTTTTATTTTTTTGCAGGAAAGATACTCAATAGGTGCTCTAAAGTTGTGCTTGTTATGTGGCTAAGTATGATTTTCATAGTAGTTCAGATTTTCACAGCCACTTTGTCCTCATGGTTGACGCTAGATCAATTACGCCCCAAATTGCCTTCAAATTATGATCATGTTGGATATCAAAATGGTTCCTTTCTAAAAGAGTTTATAAAGCAAGAAAACAATGGTTTTGGAAAGCCAATTCCTCTAAAAACCGTTGAAGATTTTAAAAATGCTTTGTCCAATGGAAGCGTAAATGCCGTCATCGATGAGCTTCCCTACATCGAACTCTTTCTTGCCAAGTATGGCTCTGATTACATGAAGTTTGGACCAATAAATAGAGAATCTGGAATTGCATTTGTGAGTCTCACTCCTCTCTATCTCTCTCTACAATATCTCCCTCTTTTTTCATCTTCCCTCATTCCCTCCTTCAGAACACTACAACAAAATTGAGTTTATAGGAAACCCCAATTCTCTAAGTGTCCCAATAGACCGTTTTATAAGATATGATTTATAGGAACAAAATATAAATCGTTCTATCTAAAGGTTTTGTAATAAGTTTATAAGACGCTTTTGGACGTCTCAATAAGTTTTTTAGGACATTTTTAATACAAAGTGTCGCATTAGCAACTTTATAGGACACTTTTGAGAAAATGTCCTATAAACTGAATTTTTATAGGACAATTATTTTTATAGGACAATTTTTTCAAATAGTGTCCTATAAAGTTGCCAATGAGACGCTTTATATTAAAAGTTTCCTAAAAAAACTTATTACGACTTCAAAAAAGTCATATAAATTTATTACAACGCTTTTAGATATGACACTTTGTTTTTTTGGTCCTATAAACTAAGTCTTATAAAGAGGTCTATTAGGACACTTAGAAATTCGGAGTGTCCTATAAACTCGATTTTGTTGTAGTGATGGAAAATTCATGCTAGTTTTTTGTTCTGTATTTGAACGATAAAAGTAATTATTAGTTCCCTAACTTCTTGTGTTTAATATCTCAGGCATTCCCTCGCGGATCTCCGTTAGTAGATGATTTTTCAAGGGCAGTCATAAATATCACTGAAAGCAAAATTATGATGGAATTGATAGAAAAATATGATCTTGGGTTCGCTACTGCTGATAAATCGCAACCGAATCAACCCCATCCACAAAGCCTTGATGTTCAGAGTTTTATTGGTTTATTCATATTCATGAGCAGTGTGACTATAGCTGCCATCATCTGGTCAGAAATCTCCCTAATGTATGGAAACAGTAAAGTTGCTCCCCTTGCATCAACAGTTAATTCGATGCATCTACGACATTCTACAGATTCTCTGGCCAACCAATTATAATGAACCAGATTTTTTAAGATGGAGCATGTAATTCTAGCCTAGATAGGAAGTTCTTACGTTTTCAAAACGAGTTTTAGTGAAGTTTGCATCAAGATTATCTTCATTTGTGAAAGTAGTTTTTTCTAGTCAAGCATGTTACCTATATCCCTTACTAGTATGTATTTACATTTTCATTTGTGGGTGTTTATCACTACAAAAATGCAGAGTATCAGCGAGGGAAAATTCCCTCGCTGATCCGTCGCTGAAAGGGCTTTCCGTCGCTGATCCGTCGCTGATACTCCGTCGGTCAAACAGTCGTAGGTAATGCTATCAGCGACGGATCAGCGACAGAAATCAGCGACGGAAACTTTCAGCGACGGATCAGCGAGGGAT